TTCAGCATGGGGTTGAGTAGAAAATGAAGGCTGATCATGTTTTGGGTGTACTATTCCTTTAAGGTCCACCGGGTCGCCGGCGACCCAGTGGGTTTTATGAGGTTAATATGGCTCTCTGGATTAGTGTTGCACCGATACCAATACCAGTATCGGGCGGGGCCCCAATCCAGCAATAAAATGGTGGTATCGGTATCGGCGAGTACCAACAAATAGGGCACCAATACCATTTTGGTATTTATTTTACATCCAATTATATACACACACACACATTTCAAACAGATGGTATCGGTATGGTATCGGTCGATACTTTACAGCGAGGTATCGGGTATATAGCACACCAGACTCCATTCATCTCATCAAGTTGTGTTCAGATTGAACTCACTTAATTAGATGACTGGAGTCTGGTGTGCTACTGCTTGGTTGGAAAGAAAACCTGCAGCCACACAGCCCTTTCTGGAACCAGTTTGACATTCCTGCCTTACAGTGTAGCGTCTCGACCACCTCGTCTCCAATGATCTCATCTCACTCTGTTTTTCTCTGACATCACAGCTATACTTTGCTCTCTGCTGAACATCACAGTGAAAGAAGTTTGCGGGAATAATGGGACATTAATGTGACAACGGGCCAAAAAAGTGCAACATCATGTAAAAGTAATCAAAAATAATAATAATTAATAATAATTAATATTGTATCTAAGCGGGTTTTGCTGTGAATGATATAACAGAACAGTAGCAACAAAATAACGCCCTTCCTTAAAAAGAGGAGTGATTCATCCTGACTATATTTTAAATCGTTAATCACTTTGGAGAGAGGGACACACTTAGAGAAAGGATTGGCTTTAAATTGTCCATCTGAGCTGCCATTGTTCTGACATAAAACAGACAGACGGTCCCCCATGGCGTGGGCTGCTGACACCTTCCTGGAAGGGGGACTCAGAGATTGATGAGGTGTCAACAGGTGAGAATGTAACAGAGAGGTCAAACACATAGCGACCGTAAATGATTGTGTTTCTGTCACTGCCCTGGTACCCCCCCCACCCCACACACACACACACACTTAACCCCTCACTCCAGTTCATCCTCTTTGATCATTAACCCAACTTTTACTCCCTGTATTCTAATGAACCATTTCATTCTGCTAAATTAATCAGAATATTGGCCTTGACAGAACAAAACACGATTTTGTATAAAATAATAACTAATAATTTGATATTTACCCCTTATTGGACAAGATAACTGATTTGCTGACAGGAAGCTAAGTAATGGAGATAATAAATAATAAGTTTGTCACTTAATTTACGGTCAGAGATTATGAACTCCCAAATAATTTCAACAAAAATAACTCAAAATGTCTATATATTAGTGATTACAACCAATTTTGTTCCCTCACAGTTTCTCTAAGTTATTATTAAATATAATTAGGTTCAGTATAAAGCAAAGTGGTATCTATACAACTATTATCTAAGCTAATGTTGCCAAGTCAGTCCTTTCTTCACTCCTTTGGTTGTTGAGTTCGGGGAGAACTTAAGGCAGCCATGTGACAGCATCAGTAAACCAAAGAGCAGATTAACCTTTACTGACAGCTCTGCTCTTTCTCTTCCCCTGTCGGCTGTTGTGCCAACTGTCATACATGATCAAATTGCCTGCGTAATGCTGCTTTCACCAACACATCAGGGAATCTCAAATCCCCCATGTGCTGCTGCTGATCTGTGGTCAGTCTCTGAGAATACACAGGATTTGGAGTCTGTAAAGTAAACAGCTGCAGCTTCCGTAAAGAATTTGAGTTGGTTGAGATTTGCTTTGTTAAAACTCAGTGGATATGCTGAGGTGATGCTATATTGTCTCTGAAGTAGAACTCCTAAAAGATTGTACTGTAGCAGCCATTCAAAATGGCCCTTCCAAGTCAAACGGCAGCTGAATGGCAGCTTACTGTCATGCGACTCCCAGGCAAATCCCCTCTAGGTTCTGGCCACTGGTCTTTTCCTAGGCCTCCATTTTTTTTTACTAGAATCAACCCTTTTACTGAATTAAAAGGTCTGACCAGGAAAAGACACTTCTCTTTTGACCTTAATGTCCATAAAATAATGAGAAAGAATATTTTAGTACAAAGATTGATGTTTCAAAAGGAATTGTAAAGGACCAGCCAAGGACCCATGAAAGAAATGTTGGTATCATGAGATTCACTACTTCTACTGGTTAATGGAGGTCCGTCATTACCCCTCATGAAAAAGAACTCTCTGAGGATCTAAATTAAAATTCCTAAGCTTTTCATAAAAATGTGTGAGGCCAGCTTTACTAAAAGTCTGCCTCTACATCATTAAATGTGTCTCCACTTCAACACCTCTGAGTCATTTTTCATTGCAGGACTCTGGAGACCTTGAATGCATGCTCAGATACTTTTAAAAGGGGCAATTCAGGCATTACACTTCATAAGTAGTTGTTTGGTTAACAGTAAACTATGTGATGATTTCAACGTCTCATTTTCAGACACTGTAACACTTGTGTGCAGTATTCTGCAAGGCAGCTGCCTCGGTCCACTGCTTTACAGTATTTATGTTCTATATATCATATGTGCTGCTTAAGGCCTGTATGACTGTCTATGCAGATGATAAAACTGTACATGGCAGATGATAAAACTTTATACGTCTCATCATCAGATCAGTATCAGGTCAATAATATCCTACAGTGTTGGTCTAGTGGTTAGAGCAGTACTCTTAGAAAGTAGCAAGTACCTGGTTTGAGCCCCAAAGGAGGCCCTTTGCGTTTCTGAGCAAGACCCTTATTATGAAATATAAGCTGTGCTGCTGCCATCAACACCTTTGTTTATTCATGTTCAAGATTGGCCTGTTTTGTATTGTAGTCCTGTTTCTCTGACTGTGACTGGCTGGATATGCTCTCTTCATCCTCTGACATAGGAGTTAGCTCGGAGCTCGGTTGCCTTGCTGTGTGTTTCCTGGCGGTTCCGCCTTTTTAGCTTATTTCTGTATCTCTGCTTCTGTCTCCTTGAACCCGAGTCGGCCTCAGCAGATGGCAGCTCACACTGAGTCTGGTTCCGCTGGAGGTTTCGTCCTGTTAAAAGAGAGTTTTTGCTCTCCACTGTCGCTACAAACATGCTTAGTGTGAGAAATTGCCTTAGAGTCAATGAGTTGATGCAATCATCTCGTTTTCCTTAGATAGAAAAATTAAAGCAATCTAACTCTATGATCTGGTGAATTCCCTTGAGGTGACGTGTTTTGAATTGCCGCTATAGAAATAAATGGAATTGAATTGTATTAAAGTAAAAACCTTCCACTAACCCATCCCTTACCCCTAAACCTAAAGAAACACCAGAATACATGTTACAATATAATCCTAAAGCTAACTTTGCAGGCTAAAATGCAAATAAATTCTTTGTCCTTATACAATGTCTGCAACCTGTCATCCACCTAATGAAACTACGAGAGAGGTGCTTTGACCAAGACTGAGTATTGGATGAGTTCGGATTGAGAATGTATTGAGAAAAACACTGAGATATTGGAGGGAAGTGTGATGATAACTATTCATTTTGGGATTCACAAATCTTGAATTTATGAGAAATCTAAAATAAATACGTAAAACATAAGGAAAGCCATGAGGAGTGTAGTTTGGAATTTGCTTTTAGCCATGTTGGGAACACAGCAGGCATTTGTTTTTTTGTGCAGACTCTGGTGGTGGCATACTATGCTTCTGGAGTGCTTTACTTTAAACGAGAAGTCCGGTCAGGAAGGAATAATCAATGGATCACTATCTATA